CACCACCACCACCACCACCATCACTACTACCATCACCACCACCACCACCACCACCATCATCAGACTACTACCATTAACACCACCACCACCACCATCACCAGAATCAACACAACAAAACAACTAACTGCAAACCCTGTTAATGGCAACATTCACACACCTACAACATTGAATCAAACAGAAAAACAACAAAAGAATACCCACAACAGAATTATCCACGCTCATCACAACTGTACCGCGAAAAGCAAACGGCGGGGCGAGCAGCTGTTCAACCTCCTTGAGAAGTGCGTTTTGGCGACACAAGTTCCTCAAGGCACCTCCGACGTCTCTGAAAAGTTCGGTACAGTTTGCGGGGCATGTGAGGGCTCATCAGTAGAAAGTAAATGATGCTAACCGTGACCTGAAGGGGAGACAAAAAAATTGTCGTTAGGACTTGAAATGGTTGAAGAAGAAAAAAAAGCTCTTTTCTACGGCTGGATAATTGGCCCATTGCGCTATGGGAGTGGAGATTAATTACTCAATTAAACATTTAAATTTGTCGTTCAGACTTGAATTTGTTGCAATCAACTCTATTTGGCGGCAGGACAAATGGCCTACAGGTTATGGTAAATATCTATAGAAACCATATTGGAGGGGGACGAGGTAGGAAGAAAGCAGAGACGAAGTGTACGACTATGTTGCCTCAAGTAAATGTCATAAAAATTTGGTGTATTTTAAGTGTTAATCCACTTTTTTTTATTTGAGATGTGAACAAAAAAAAAGAAAACATAGGGAATAACACAGCGAGAGTCATAGCAGCCCGCCTCCTAAATGATCTCATTTGTGTCGATGGGGGTGTAAAACATCTACACTGATAATAATTATTACTCTAACAATGCCCTTGGCGGCATTTAATTCTTTTTTTTTTAATTTCTATTAGAATAGTGTTCAATGTAGGTCTAGTATAAAGATCTGTTTTATGGTAGGCCCTATAACGTATTCTATACATAAAAAGTAAGAGTTAATTGTTCAAGAATAAATTCTATCCGAGAGACGAGACAACACATCATAAGTAGGAGCTGGTGGTGACATTTATATTTCATTATTACAGAGGGATCAAGTGAATCATATCGTCAAATGGGTAAAAGTAAACTTTGGCCCTCCTTTCGGGACTTTCGGGACTAAGAATAACTAGCACCTGGGACCTCCTCAAACAAACAAACAAACAAACAAACAAACAAATAAGCAAACAAAAACCAGCAAAAACAAGCCACAAACAAAACAACAACCAACTAACAAAAAAAAATTAATAAAAAGAAACACAAAAAAAAACCTCCCCAAAAAAAATACTCCAAAAATTAAAAAAAATTAATTATGCACGAGAACGATTTTACCTGCAGACCAGCGAAAGCTATCAACTCAAGAAGCAAGTCGACGGACTGAAAGATGAGGCCGCACCCAGCAACGAGAACTTCCGCTAGGATCACCATGACAATAAACGCCACATCCGCCTTAGCTGTCCGGCCGTTGAGGTTGCACGTGTAGATGATGCAGGCGTGAGTGGTGAGTATGATGTAGAGTACAAATATCAACGGCAATGTGGAGAACCCATCCACTAGGAAGACATCTCTCAGGGCACTGGAGAACATTCTGAGAAGCGGTGGGAGAAAGTGGTTAAATATAAGATAAGATAAGATAAGAAACGATACGATAAGATACGATAAGATAAGATAAGATAAGATACGATAAGATAAGATAAGATAAGATAAGATAAGATAAGATAAGATCTTTTTTGTCTA